TTACGTCTAACATGAGTTTGTGTCTAGGAGAGGGCCTAGTAAGTTGTAGAACAAACATTACGTCTAACATGAGTTTGTGTTTAGGAGAGGGCCTAGTAAGTTGTAGAACAAACGTTACGTCTAACATGAGTTTGTGTCTAGGAGAGGGCCTAGTAAGTTGTAAGAACTTGTGCCCAATCCCTTTGACTATTCAGTGTCAATAAAATATGTTTGAATGAAATAGTTTGTGGTACAGCCTTCTGGGATTAAGAAACAAGGTCACTGTTACTTGAAATAGAACTTCAACACTATCACTCTACAAACTTAATTTCTTTTTGTCATGAAACTATCTTTTATACAAGTGTGTTTCTGATTGGCTGGGTTGTTAACAATATCACCATTACTAGAAATATCACTTGATAGTCTTCACTTTACAGACTTCATACACATGTTCGTTTGATCTCTGCGGGTTAAGGACAAGGCCACTGTCACTATAAATAGAAAGACTTCATTTCTTATTGGATTGTCTTGAAATGTGAAATACATGTTTATAAACACCTCTGGTGCAAATTTATGTTCTGACGTTTTAAAGATCACCGTTACTATAAATAAATGATTCCTGGCATTGACCCTAAGTCTCGCTATACACTTGTCATTTCTGATCATTTCCAGTCGCCAAAGGGTTAGTATTGTCTGCAATGCTTTTTATAAGTAAAAAATGTTCATTGAAAGACCAGCATATATGATCATGAATAAATTTGTCATTGTATGAAACAGAATTGAGGAAACTTTGGTTTTGTTTGTGATACAGGGGCTTTAATGAAGCATTTTTATCATTTAAAAGGTTGTTTGTAGATATATAGGGCATCCTTTGTATTACAGACCAGCAGAAATACCTGACAAGGCAGTATTTGACCGTCTATCTCTACGATGTGGAAGGGTGTTACCAAAGGACGGAGAGGTAATTCGTTAGTAGGTTGTGTGAGGAAATCTCAAGGTTAATGATCTGTGTTTTATCGTATGGTTCTGCTGGAAATGGGTGGGCTATTGATAGATTGGTGTGTTATTGATATTTCTGTTGTTGTACAGTACTGTTCCTAACTGTCTGGAATTTTTTCAGGCATATCTTCAAAACTACTGAAGTGATTTCTCAAAAACTTAGCATACTACTTCCCTATGATATGATGTTGTGCCCTTTTGCTCGTGTTATATTTTGACAAAATATCTTAGAGTAAAACCCCTTTTTGTTAAACTTCTCAACCAGAATATTGTGTCAAGGTATCTTATAAAGTACTGAAGGGATTTCTCTAAAATTGGCTTAATATTTTCCTGTTATGTAATGTTTTGCCCTTTTGCATGTTGTCAAACTTGGACAAAATTTCTTAAGAGTTATAACTTCTGTCCAGAATAATATGACAAACGTATGTAATACGCAAGTTCAAAGTTTGCCTGGGAAATGTTTCTATACTGTTTCACCTAGTACATTCAGATTTGATATGCAAGTACATCCTGGGATGTCTGAGTGTAAAGTACATCCTGGGATGTCGGAGTGTAAAGTACATCCTGGGATGTCGGAGTGTAAAGTACATCCTGGGATGTCAGTGTAAAGTACATAAAGTAGGTCCCTGTGACCTATGGTTTGACTTTTGACTTAAACCTTTGAAATTGTTTGTCTTGGCATATCTCCTATACTATTTCAGCTAGAATAACCAGATTTTGTAAGCAAGTACATCTGTAACCTGTGCTTTGACCTTTCATCTTATCCTTTGAAAAAATTCGTCTGGTCATATCTTTATTCTTTATACTATTTCACCTGGATAAAGCAGGTTAGGTATGCAAATGTCTTCTTGGGCTGGCTAAATGCAATGTACAAGAAGTATGTCACTGTGACCTATGCTTTGACCTTTGACCTTAACCCTTTTAAACAGTTTGTCTGGGGCTTATCTTTTATGCTATTCATCTGGAGTATCCAAATCTGGTATGCTAATACACCTTGGGATGATGAAATGTCAAGTAAAAAAGTAGCTCACTGTGACCTGTGCTTTTCCCTTTGATCTCAACCTTAGCTAAATTTTGTTTGGGGGCATGTCTTCATTACATATTCATCTGGACTAACCAGATTTGGTATGCCATTATGTTTTGGCACGGGGAGTGTAAGAAATATGTAACTGTGACCTATATCCTTAAATAGGTGAACAGCTTAGTAAATAAAGAAATTGTTACTGGTGCAATAAACTTTTGTCTTGGTTAGCCATTGACTAACATTTCTAGTTGATGTTTGTTATTGTATAGTACTGCTGGAGATGGGTAGGATACAATTATGGTGTGGATCTCTTAGTGACCTACATGAACAACATCATCACTTTGAAACGCAACACCCACAGTCAGTCATGTCCTCATGCAGTTAGCTTACAGACACTGCGACATGTAACATACAGGTGAGTTACAGACACTGACATGTAACATACAGGTAAGTTATAGACACTGCGACATGTAACATACAGGTAAGTTATAGACACTGACTTGTAACATACAGGTGAGGTACAGACACTGACATGTAACATACTACATGAACAACATCATCACTTTGAAACGCAACACCCACAGTCAGTCATGTCCTCATGCAGTTAGCTTACAGACACTGCGACATGTAACATACAGGTGAGTTAATGACACTGTGACATGTAACATACAGGTGAGTTATAGACACTTTGACATGTAATATACAGGTGAGTTATAGACACTGTGACATGTAACATACAGGTAAATCATCACTTTGAAACGCAACACCCACAGTCAGTCATGTCCTCATTCAGTTAGCTTACAGACACTGCGACATGTAACATACAGGTGAGTTAATGACACTGTGACATGTAACATACAGATGAGTTATAGACACTGTGACATGTAACATACAGATGAGTTATAGACACTGTGACATGTAACATACAGGTGAGATACAGACACTGTGACATGTAACATACAGGTAAGTCACAGACCCTGACATGTAACATACAGGTGAGTTACTGACACTGCGACATGTAACATACAGGTAAGTTATAGACACTGCGACATGTAACATACAGGTAAGTTATAGACACTGCGACATGTAACATACAGGTAAGTTATAGACACTGAAATGTAACATACAGGTGAGGTACAGACACTGACATGTAACATACAGGTGAGTTATAGACACTTTGACATGTAATATACAGGTGAGTTATAGACACTGTGACATGTAACATACAGGTAAATCATCACTTTGAAACGCAACACCCACAGTCAGTCATGTCCTCATTCAGTTAGCTTACAGACACTGCGACATGTAACATACAGGTGAGTTAATGACACTGTGACATGTAACATACAGGTAAGTTATAGACACTGACATGTAACATACAGGTGAGGTACAGACACTGACATGTAACATACAGGTGAGTTACAGCCACTGCGACATGTAACATACAGGTGAGTTATAGACAGTGTGACATGTAACATACAGGTGAGTCACAAACCATGACATGTAACGTACAGGTGAGTCACAGACCCTGACATGTAACATACAGGTAAGTTACAGTCACTGTGACATGTAACATACAGGTTAGTTAATGACACTGTGACATGTAGCATACAGGTTAGTTATAGACACTGACATGTAACATACAGGTAAGTTAATGACACTGTGACATGTAGCATACAGGTAAGTTATAGACACTGACATGTAGCATACAGGATAGTTAATGACACTGTGACATGTAACATACAGGTGAGTTATAGACACTGACATGTCGCATACAGGATAGTTAATGACACTGTGACATGTAGCATATAGGTAAGTTATAGACACTGTGACATGTAACATACACGTGAGTTAATGACACTGTGACATGTAACATACACGTGAGTTAATGACACTGTGACATGTAACATACACGTGAGTTAATGACACTGTGACATGTAGCATATAGGTAAGTTATAGACACTGTGACATGTAACATACAGGTAAGTTATAGACACTGCGACATGTAACATACAGTTGAGTTACAGTCACTGTGACATGTAACATACAGTTGAGTTAATGACACTGTGACATGTAGCATACAGGTAAGTTATAGACACTGTGACATGTAACATACAGGTAAGTTATAGACACTGCGACATGTAACATACA